CCGTAGGTTCCGCAGCAAGCCGAAAAAGTGCTTGAAACCGTGTCGATTTTCCGATTCGGGAAACGACCAGGCCAACACGTAATGGCGAGGACGCAAGCTGGCATAGGCGAGCCAGGTCGCCTACTCTACTTGCGGGACGCAACATCCGGCATGCGATTCCTCGTAGACACGGGTGCCCAAGTCAGTGTACTTCCCCCACGTCCAGAAGACCTGAAAAACTTCTCGGTATACAGCCTCCAAGCAGTAAACGACACACAAATCCGATCCTATGGAGAACGTTCTGTTACTCTAAATCTCGGTCTGCGTAGATCCTTTCCTTGGATTTTCATCATTGCTAAAGTGCCTACTGCAATACTAGGCCTTGACTTCTTTCAGCACTATGGCATTATGGTAGATCATAAGCGCTGTCAGATCATAGATGGCGTAACTAAACTATCACAGGCTGGTATTGAAAGTTCCGTAATGTCTATGAGTCCGCAGCTTGTCCCGCCTCAAGCTTCTTCTATGTATTTGGATCAGTTGCACGAATTTGCCAGCATAGCGAAGCCCGGATATCATCCTGGTGATATCAAACATGAGATCGTTGACAGGATAACGACAGCACGCAGTCCAGTATTTCATCTTCCACGGCGACTAGTGCCAGATAAACTTTCCGTAGCGAAGACCGAGTTCGATCACATGTTACAATTGGGCATAGTACGTCCATCCAGCAAAATGTGGCCATCGCCGCTACATATGGTCCGGAAGAATAAACCCGGAGACTGGAGACCATGTGGGGATTATAGAGGACCGAACGCCATCACCGTCCCAGACAGATACCCCATTCCGCATCTCCAGGATTTCTCATCCTCGCTGTACGGAAATAAAGTGTTCAGCAAGATAGATTTAGTATGGGCATTCCACCAACTTCCCGTTCATCCTCAAGATGTACCTAAGCCTGCCGTCACTACTCCCTTTGGCTTATTTGAGTTATTGCGAATGCCATTTAGGCTTCGTAATGCAATTAAGACGTTTCAGCGTTTATGGATCAGGTCATTCACGAGCTGGACTTCGTTTTCGTCTACATCGACGATGTCTTAGTTGCAAAACGAAATCATGACGAACATTTGCGTCATCTGCCATAGCTTTTCGAACGATTTGCGCATTATGGGGTAGTTATCTACGCCGCCAAGGGTCAGTCAGGAGTTGATATGATAGACTTTCTTGGTCACCGTGTTTCCTCCGCTGGAATTGCACCCCCACCGGACAGAGTGACAGCCATCACTGAGTATCTCATACCTGATACCATCAAAAAGTTATGCCGGTTCGTTGGCATGGTTAACTTCTACCGAAGATTCATTCCGCACTGTTCAGAGTTAGCCCAGCCACTTACCGAACTGCTCAAATTAGATACTAAAACATTCAGCCTTACGGAATCAGCTGAACACGCATTCAGCGAGCTAAAACACCAGCTAGCAACTGCCACTCTTCTTGTGCAACTAGATCCTAAGGCCCCGTTACAGTTAACGGTGGATGCCTCAGATGCAGCTGTAGGTGGTGTGCTTCAACAAAGACAGAGAGGTGAATTGTATCCAATTGCCTTTTTCTCTAAGAAATTGCAGCCTGCCGAACGACGTTATAGCACGTTCAGCAGAGAACTCCTAGCTATTTACCTCAATGTGCGTCATTTCCGACATTATTTGGAAGGACGTACGTTCACGATATTCACCGATCATAAGCCGTTAACGTATGCACTGCGTTCTGCTTCTGATCGTCTTTCCCCACGAGAAACTAGACAATTAGATTACATTTCCCAATTTACCTCTGACATACGGCATTTGTCCGGCGCGAATAACGCCGTAGCAGATGCCTTATCAAGGGCGGAAATCAACGCTCTATTCGAACATTCCTCCATTGACTTCCAAGAACTAGCCACAGCGCAGCATCAGGATAATCAGTTTCTTCAACAACTGCAAGAAACCAATCTTCAAGTGAAAGCCATTCCGCTGCCTGGTAGTTCGGATGTTCTGATGTGTGATCTTTCGACAGGACAACCACGACCTGTCGTACCACCAAACTATGGACGAATCATCTTCGATTCAATCCACGGTTTATCACATCCAGGCATCCGTGCAACTCGCAAGCTTATTTCTGATTGCTTTGTTTGGACAGCATTAGACAAAGACGTGCAGGTCATGGTGAGAAATTGCCTCCCAAGTCAGCGTTCAAAAGTGCAACGGCATACTCAGGCACCACTTGGCAACTTCACCGTTCCCGATGCTTGTTTCAG